TCATACTTAAAATATTGTTTATATATATGTAATTGCATTTTTTATTACATTATTTATATTTAAAATACACATATAAATTACTAATCAGATATAATAATTTTACATTATATTATTAATCAATACACATCAACAACTTATATAATACGCCTATTATTATTTATTTTTAAAAATTATATTTTTAATAGCCAATAAAAATTACTATTAACTTATTATGTTTTATCACATCATTGCTAATATAAAATAAATTATAAATTAATTCTTTTATTTTAAAAAATTATATTTATTTTATGTTTTCTATTATCCAAAAAATGTGATAAAATATCTATTTTAGCGATAAAATTGTAGTAAAAAACATGTTATTCACTCCAATGGCTGACTGATTGACTGACAAAACAAAAAAAATTTCAACAAAAACCTCAGTTTATATTATATGTGCAATTGATATAATAGATATAATACATCACCATATTGTTTGTATACCAAAAAAAAGGTTAGACAAACAACAGCTTAATTGCATGACTTTCCTAAAACCTAATTTGCACACAAAATGCAATTATAATAATAGTAAAAACAATAGAGAGACACACACATCGCTAACAATGTATTACTCGGTATATAATACATCATTGAATTAACCCGTAAACCAAACGAGAGATCCGTTTTTATTACATTAACAATAAAGTGTTAGTGCTTTTAGTGTTTGAGAGAGAAAAAAATTAGAGATAGAGAGAGAGGAAAGGGATGGCAATGAAATGCCAATTGAAAGGTATGTTAGACAGAGGGGAGTGATCGACAAAACGATGGCTAAAAACATGTATTATTATTATTTTTGTTATAACTTATATCTCCCACACAAAAATTTTTCCGCACATAAACACACAACTGTTTACTATTTGCTATATAATAGTACACAATATATATATATATTTTACTGTATTATTAAAAGCAAATATTATTTGTAAGCAATTAATCATTTCACGCTTTTGCGAAAAATCAAATTTATGGCCAAAAAAATATTATTATTATTTAATCAAAGCGAGTAACTCTTTAAAAAAAATATTAGAGGAAAGACTAATTTGGTGTTTCATAATTTTTTCAAGCACTAGTATGTGTGTGTGTTTTGCCTCATTTGCCAATGAATTTATTATATATATTAAACATAACATAATACACACACACGGGATGCAAATATTTGCAAAAAAATTATTCACTCATTCATATATATATATATAACTTATATATATAGACACTGTACTGTAAAAAGAGATATTTCCTTAAATTTACAATGACTTTGACAAATTAAATACAAAACCTACACTTTTTTTTGTTATGGCGTTTATTGGATAATAAATGTATAGCAAACTAACAGATGCTTGAGCTATAATAAACACCACTATTAATATATTAGTGTATATATATATACAGTATATATCATATTATGTAACTTATAATATTAAATATTGTGTGAGAGTTTGCGAGTTTGTTATACATTAAGAAATAATAAAAAAAATAACTTGAAATAAGAAAAATTAATTTATTCTGCTTTTTAGTCCATAATAAATGTCAGTTCATACACTTTTTTGGGGCTTACAAATTGGGTGGTCCTCTCTAAGCTGCACCCATACCCCTCAATTAAATGTCTTTCACACTACATGTTTATACTGTATATAAAGTAAAATGTCTAATAAATGATATATACAACAAGTTTAGGACAATTTTCGTGCTATAAGTTGTCCCCTAAAAACCTGAATAGACATTATTAAACATATGATTAATATATAATAAATATATAGTTACTTACTTTCAATTGAGAAACTTATTCATCAGATTTTTAAAATATTTTATTTTTAAAAGATTAGAAATATGATAGCATTTTCTCATCTAACGTCTAATAATATGATAATTATTAAAAGCTTCTCATTTTTTTTGATACAAACTTGAAAGGGATTTAATATTTTATAAACACTAAACTTGATAGTTATAACACATAAGGGTATAATAAAATAATTATAATATTTTTATAGACATATCGAGTATCAAAATTGTATTATAAAACATGTGTACTTTATATACAGTATTATATATTTAATACAAACATAGTATTTACTGTATTATTTAAAACTATTAATAGACTTAATCAAAATATTATAATAATAATAATAATAATATAGAGTAAGTTTATTAAATATAATTTTCTTGTTTTAATTAATTTATTAATTAAAATTTGTTTTAAGAATTAAAGGAGACATATTAGATGTCTCTAAAATCTAGTGTTTATTATTAAATAATTTAAATTTAATTTAAATTTAATCGATGTAACAATTTTTGAAATGATAAAAATAGATTTTTATTAAATAATTTGATAAATTTTGCTTAAAAATTGCTAAAAAAATTATCTAATATACAGTATATAACTTAATATAAATGACATTATATGGTGTATAAAAAAATATAATTTACTACTTATTTTTAAGAGTACACTAAATAATAATAAGCTTAATATCTAATTATAGAGTTTATAAATTATAGGCAAAAATTAAAGTAATCTTTTTTTTGCTAATAAATTTTTTTCTGAAAACCAAATTATTACTTTTGCAAAAATAAAAAGACGAGAAAATATTTATGAAATATATATATATATATTAAAAAAGATAATTTGTTTCTTTTCTTATATTATTTAAGAAAGAAATTTATATAAATTAAACGCGAATTGCGGGCAAACTGTATATAATTTTAATGAGATGTGAGATTTGAACAGCTAGTGTGTGTGTGTGTGTGTGTGTGTGTGTGTGTGTGTGTGTGTGTGTGTGTGTGTGTGTGTGTGTGTGTGTGTGTGTGTGTGTATGTGAGTGTGTATGTGTGAGTATGAAATAAAACTCAATTAAAGATACATATAGTATATATATATATATATATATATAGTATAATAAATTTATCAAAACTTATGGTAATGTTTAATAATGTAAAGCAATATCCGATGTATACTTTATTATTAATGTTTCGGAAAATAACAAAAACAAAAATACTAAATAATTATAATAATAATAATGAGAAAACTCTTTAATTAGTTTTTCAACAACAAAATAAAAACAGACATACAATTCATGTGCCATCTAATCCATGGCACACTTCTATGTCATATCCATGTCTTATAGATATATATATAAATACAGAGATTAAGGATTTGGCCTCTCAGTAAAGTCATTGTTTTTTATGGCATTTTTTGTTGGTTTATAGTATATATCTATTTTGCTGATTTGATAAGTATAGCTCAGTCAGTAAAAATATAAAGGATAACTTATGTGTGCCCTATTCTACCCTCTAACAAAAACTACATGTGCGGGCAGTGTAGTACAGTATAGCAATATTGTTTAGCCCATAGTTTTTTTTAAGACACATGTCATATGCTTTGGACATATAAACCTAAATGAAATCTAATTCCTTGAGCGAAATGGACATACATTTCGGTATATTTTGTTGTTGTATGCGATTTCACTGTTTTTCTTACGGGGCTTTTGTGGAGTCAATTTTTAGCCATTACTTAGAGAGAGAGAGAGAGAGAGAGAGAGAGAGAGAGAGAGAGAGAGAGAGAGAGAGAGATATTAAAAATATATGAAACAACAACACATATATACACTGAGAAGTCGACTGTTTATTGATTTTTAAGACAACTGACTAACTCGTCAGTGAAATGAAATAAAATGATGGTATGAAAGGCATCACAGCTTTGGTTATATTATCAATGATTTGATAAAAACATATTTTATTTTTATTTTATTTGTTTGTTTGTTTGAAAGATAAGTTTTGAATCTTCACAAAAAATACATATCACGAAACATTACATAAAACCAGATTTTTTGATGGATAGCCAGTCACCAAAAATATAACAATTTTTATTTTGTTTGAAATATTAACATAAGTATATTTATGAGATAAATAATTATTTTTTTATTTTTAGAAATTTTTAAATATATCGATAAATATGTATTTAGAAATAAAATAAAAAACTTTAGATTAACCATAAAAATATCCATTAATATTAATTAGATTAATAATATGACACAAAAATTATTTGTTAAATACACGCAAATAGATTTTTTTTACTTTTTGATCAGTACATTTATTATTAATATTATTCAATACACACTGCTATCAATAATTCAAAAATATTTATAATGATTTTAATAATTTATAAATGTTAAATTTTTCTAAATATTAATCTGTATAAAATTCAAATTACAATAAAAAAAGTTTTTATTTATAAATATATATATATATTATAGTATAGTATAATATAATATATTGAAAGTAAAGTAATTTGAGATATTTTATTATTCTATAAGTTATATTTAACGAAAATGATAACTATTTATTATGATTAAAAATAGTTTTTCATATATAATATAAAATATGTTTCGTTTTTAATCATAATTAATCATTTCATCAATAGTTTATCCACAGATCCCGATATTATTTTTAAGTTTGCATACCTTAGAAAATATTGTAATAAAAGAAATGATACAAAAATAAAGAAAATAAAGATTAATAAAAATATTATTATAACAAAAATAATAATTATACTAATAATTAAAACATGTTTTTAATAAATATCATATTTCTATACTTTATTTTGATTGCAGACAACTGTGCCGTCAGTAAAATATTCCGTAAAAATTAGTTTACGTCGAGACTTGTTATTATTAATTATATTATTATTATTATTATTATTACTAATATAATTAAATAGTATATTATCGGTGTATTCATATATAACACAATCGACTCGACACGGATTTAGCCTACATTTGTCACTTAACACCTTTTTAAGTACAGTAATAGCGCCGTATATTTTTGTAGACCACACACACACACAATACGACATACAATATATAATAGAGAAAAAAAGGTACTAAATATCAACAATATCTTAAAAATATTTAACAGTTAATTATGAAAATCTGTGACATATATATATATATATCATATTAACAATTAATTACAATTTGATCCTCCTCATCCAGCTCATCATAATTATAATTGGGATGTATTTGTTGGCACTGTTGGATACGTTGGTCATCCGTAATATATATGCGATCTAATTGCGAGTAAATTGTATGTTTAATTAAAAATCTGTGTCTTTTTTATTTTAAAATTTACCGCTTATTGAAGTGGTAGCCAATAAATTAAAGCAACACATAACCAATGAAATTACTAATAAATAACATTTGACAGCCATTTGGATATATTATGTATACATAAAAAAATCAATTTAAATCTAAATCAAAAAAGGTGCTTAACAAGATTTCAAAAAATTAATTTACATTTTAATACATCAAAAAACATGTCTTATATAGTTTATAATTTTTTTTAGTATTACGCATATACATTGTGTACCTATACATACAATATTATAAGCACCTTAAAGCATTATAAGCATTATAACAGATAATCATCATTAAATTATTTTTATCAAATAGTCTCTACGTATTAGTAAACTACTAATTTACTACAAATAGTGGCCTATTATTAAGTGAGAATATATCACACTTTAAAAAAAAAACTTGAGTGATAACAACATCCATAAGCTCATCACATGGAGTTTCAAAGTGTAAATAAAATACTTCATACTTTATATCTCTTGAATGTTGAAATACCATTTTGTTTACATAATTTCGGTGAAATTTTAATGAAAATTTTTAATATGTTTTCCACTTAATTATATGAATTTATATATAAATATATTTTTCCTGTACTTTGTGTCACAAGATTTTATACTATATTTGTTGGACTTATACTCTAAACTTCTTTAGGATATAAGTTAATTAAAGCTCAATTAAATATAGAGAAATATATATATATATATATATATATATATATATATATATATATACAGTAATTGGATTTTACTCATTATATAAGCACTTCAAGTAAATTATTTGATATAATAATGTCCTTGATACTATTATTAATATTATTAGTATTATACAGTAATAGGCTGAGCACACACTAGCATTAGTTTATATATGTTTTATAATATACAGTACTGTATATTGTATTGTTTGACAGCACTTTTCAAGAGTATTCAGACAATTATTAATTTATATATTTTTTTCAAGTATACGGTAGTATTAAATAGTAATTGCAGCAAAAATAGTAATAGTAGTAGTAGTTCGTGACTATTTCATCAAACAGTAGCTATAATATACTAAATATATAAATATATACTGTATTATAATACAAAATATGTTTAGTTTAGAAATGAGAAGCAAACAGACAGACAGATAGACATCCAACTAATTTGACAATTATTTGATTATAAATTCAATATTCAAATTGATTTTTTAAAAGCTTAGTTAATATAGCAGAGAAAGGAAGACCATTAAATTTTTTGAGCCATCCGTGCATCGCATGAGAGGATTCAAAGAGAGAGAGAGAGAGAGAGAGAGAGAGAGAGAGAGAGAGGCAACAAATGATATAATTATAGAAAATGGCAATAATTGAGTGATGGGTCGGCACACGCGGGTGTGTGTATGTGTGTGTCTACCCGCGTGTATGGTGTGGTGTACGGCCTGTCAATGCATGTCCTGTACATTATCTCTGTTCATGTTTTATGATTTTTGTCTCATTTATTGAACATTTATTTTTGTGGCATATATGAGAGCCACAGCTGTAATATTATGGGAAAACCAGGAGAATGGGCTCTATTTGTTTGGATGTTAATCTATGGGTGCTTTCTCTTTGGAAAGCACTGGTAGATTGAAAGTACAGCAGAGAGTGAAAGTGTGAGAGAATTCTGATGAATTCAGTCGTCAATCAGTTATATTAGCCATCGATTTGTGTGCGATTGTGTTGGCACTGGTATGGCTGATATGATATTAGGCCCGGGAGACAAGTTTTTGGCACGTTTTTAGGTCCCGACTATAAACTGGTGGCGTTTTATGACGTGTGTCGCTATCATTATCATAAACACATAACCAAATACAAAAGTACTAATATGTATGCATTCACTCATCAGATATAGTCATTGAAGTCATGGCCCATCACAACAACAAAACTTATAACACATACCATACACACAAACCAATTTGAGAGCTCTGGGATGTGAACCCAGAGCTCTATATATTTATTTATTATCATCAATAGCTCTCTCTCTCTCTCTCTCTCTCTCTTTGCTCAAACATTAGCAATAACTGTTAGGATGTCTGTGCAATCGTATAATATATATTTCGGTGACATTTAAAATAATCATATATTTTTGCTAAACTTTAAACTATACTTAACTACCGTCTGAATACTAGTTGAGTATTATTATTATTATTAAAGCTATTATTTGCTTTGATAGCACATATTGTATAACTTATGACTGTATTGTAAAATTTAAATGAACAAAAATAGTGTCTGAGAGTTATGGTAAGTTCACCAAATATATTATGCAATTCATACAATACATTTAATGTTGAGAGAGAGAGAGAGAGAGAGAGAGAGAGAGAGAGAGAGTCGGGAGAATAATAGGAAAGTTAGCTTTCAGAGAGAAAGAGAGAGAGAGAAAGTACACCTTTTTGAATGTCGGAGCGGAGACTCGCTCTACTGAATTGCCGTATCTTTGCTCTCAATATTTCAGTACATTATTATATACTGTATTATTATTTTTATTATTATTATACACACAATTTATATTGCATTTTAAAAATTTTCATTAAGCGTCATATGAGATGCACAAATCATTTATTATTAAACTATTATTTCTATAGCAGACTAATTATTACTCCCATTTCCCAGTCAACTCCTTGTGCACCATATATGATATATGGACTCTCTCTCTCTCTCTCTCTTATTGTCTGTTTATCTATCTCTCTGTCTATCTGTCTGTCATTATTTTCTTTGTATATATATTTTAGTACATAAAAGATAATTTAAATATATAATTGTAGTGAAAAAAATAGTTGACATTTGATTGATTTGTTTTCTCTCAAAATCTAAAACAGTATATAATTTTTGTAATTATTTGGTTCATATAATTACAATAGTATTCAGCATTATATAATGTATTGTATACCACATATGGATCTTTTATTATTATTATTATTATTATTATTATTATTATTATTATACAGTTTGTTAAAATATTTTATTTTTGTAAACAAAGAGACTGCTAAAAGAAGTTTCTAATAATATTTTATTTTTAAAAAAACATTTTTATGTTATGTTTTTTACATTGTTTTATATTATTTATTCAGACAATAAATATTTTTTTTTTAAATATATATATATATATATATTTAATAGATTTTAAATTTTTAAGAGAACAAAAGCAATGGAAAATTGTATACAAATAGTTAGTAATGACAGCAAAACATAAAATTCATTTCAAAAACTTTATTTTATAATTATTTTCATAAAATAATAACTTATATAATTAATAAATGCATTTTATATGTTATCTTTCATTCAACAGAAAAATGATAAAACAAGTATTGAATTTAATTTATCGCAAAACAACTACTACTACAACAACAACAACAACAACAACACAATACACTACAATATAATACAATATAACTAAAATAATTTTTCAAAACTTTCAAATTAAAACCAAATGAAAAGTTTTCAAAATTGAAAATTTCAAAGGGACTAAAAATGTCTAACAATTGTGTTATAAATTAAGACAATGTATTGTATATACTGTACTATAACTATATATAAATCAGATAAATAGTAGTCATGAGCCGTAAAATATGTGCAAATTTGAGATGTAAGTGCACGCAGAGTGTTGGTGTTGGACAGTATGTTTTGATTGACACACTTGTTGTGGTGGACTTTCCGTATAATGTTTTTGTTATATATATACTATTTATATTTAAAATACTGAAAGAAAGAAAGAAAGTGTGTGTTTGTGTGTGTGTGTGTGTGTGTGAGAGAGAGAGAGAGAGAGAGAGAGAGAGAGAGAGAGAGAGAGAGAGAGAGAGACTGGCTGTCGTGTCGAGTGATAGGGAACGGGAGATGAGTGCAAAATGTGATTCCTATTAGTTCTGCTTAATTTCGATGTCTGTTTTAAGTGCAGTCATACATATATGATTCATCGGACTTTAATGTTATTACAAATTATCAAATTACAGCTCCCTTTCCATTACACGTTTGCCAGTAATTTGAATATCTCGTTGAAATACGAGTGCACTCACACATTGTCTTTCTCTCGCATACTCCGGTCAAACCTATTCCGGGGGTCCAACAAAAATATTAACCGTAAAACTAGTCACTCGGTATGTAGTAGACACATATCAATAGGATGGATGTTAATAGAGGAACTGGTATTTAGTAGTAGTAGAGGACAGTAGTCGGTCATTGTTTGGGGGTTTTTGCTATTGATTTCAAATGAAAATTTGCTTAAACTTATATATTTATATATATGAAACCTCTATTTCCTCAAATTTAATGGTAAGTTATCAATAGCTTCAAATTGTTAGTCAATTGAATATCATATCAAATGTTATATTATTATTTTTTTCTCGTATGAAAAAAATGTTTCTCATATTAGCAACAAATTATTTAGTTTCAATGAACTCAACATAAATCAATATAACAGAGAATATAATATATTAATAGATTTTTTGCCAATAATATCTAATGTTTCTTTGCAGTCAACAATAATCTCACATTGATATCGACAATAGTAACCAAAGTAGAGAAAAACATATTAAAACACTTATATAAAAGTTAATCGTTTTGACGTTTGAGGAGAGAGAGAGAGAGAGAGAGAGAGAGTTCACAGAAAAAGAGGTGTGTTTGTGTGTACGTATGTATAGATTGTATTTTATTATATTTAAGATACGACTATACAGTATATGAGAGAAAAGGGAGACAACTGACTGATATGAGAAAATAGATATATATATATATATATATATATATATTGAATTGTTGGGTCTGATAGACGCCCAGCAGTAAGTACAGTACAGTACTGTCAATGAGATAGTGATATATATTATAAGAGAGAGAGAGAGAGAGAAACTGAGACAATTGAATTTATTTCATGAGAGTGAGTGAGTGAGTGAGTGAGTGAGTGAGTGAGTGAGTGAATGAGTGAGTGATAGAGAGAGAGAGAGAGAGAGAGAGAGGAAAAAAAATCTGTGACAATTGGTTGAAATGTGAGACACATTGAAAAGCACTGATTGAATAACTTAAAACAATAAGAGTTAGACTTAAAACATAAGGATAACAATATATATGCTTATATGATATACTGTATATTGAGTGATATATTTGTGTGAATTGAGAAGTCATTGAAATAACAAATACTTTCAACAGTCAAGTCATT